TCAAATGACAGTGTAAAATCCTTGTTGCTTGAAATGCCGCGTATCGCGTTCTCTTCCGTCCTTGCAACTTTTTCGAAGGGCGCAGGGACGATGTATGATACCGGCAAGCTCTTCTTTTCCCCAGCCACGATTTATTACACCTTTTGCAATTTAAGAATGCAACTCCATCAGACATTTTTTTTTTTTTTTTCTTGCAAATGCATACTGAGTGAAACACAGTAAAGGTAACCATTTTTTTTTCTTTTCTTGCCTCCCCTTTTCCGTGTGCACCTCTTCACCAGTGTCATCATCCCAATTGTTATTTTCCGTTTTGCCACATCGTTGGAGGTGTTAGTAATTCTCCCCGGGGGTGTTACATCATGCACATCGGATGAGCGTCCCCGTGTAGGCATATCTTTACGCCCATTGTGTTGCAGCTTGTTTGGTCCCAATAAGCAGGAAAAAAGAAAAAAAAAAATTTGTTCGTTTCTCTCCCTGTTGTGCATGAGGAATGGTTCCCCCTTAGGATTTTTTCTTGCAAGTGGGGGAGTCGAGTCTTGTCGAGTCTTTTTTTTTTTTTCTTCTTTTTTCTTCCTCGACGTGGCTTCCCTGCTACTAATCGTCTATCGCGCCAAAGACCTCCGCTCTAAAGAAGCAGAACGCACAGCAGAACGCACAGCAGAACGAACAGCAGAACGAACAGCAGAACGAACAGCAGAACGAACAGCAGAACGAACAGCAGAACGAACAGAAGAACGCACAGCAGAACGCACAGCAGAAGAGGCAACCTCCCCCACATCCAAGTGGCTAACCCCATAAAAGACAAGCAGTAGCCAGCGACGTACCACTGACGTACCACCGACGTACCTGCGACCCACCGCGGGAAGGGCGAAAATGCTGCCCCTATACGGGACCGGCAAGAGGAAGAGCCCCCCCAATGTAATGAGTTTCTTTGGCGGAGCCTATTCCAAGGGGATCTTCCAAAGTGGAAAGGTTGGCGATGTCCCTAAGGCAGACAAGGGGGGAAACCTCCCCCATGTGCGCAATGCACAAGGATGGAGCGCTCCCATGGATCAAGTTCAATACGTACAATATGCAGAGTACGAAGATGACGTAACCTGGTTGGGGTGTCTAAACTGGTATATAAACCGGTCGCCCAAACAAAGGATCGCGATTAACGCAGCAGTGTTGCTCGCATTCGCAACAGCAACGTATGCAACATATCAAACGGTTGACAATGTGAAGACCGTGTGCTTAGTCGGGCTATCCCTCTATAGTGCGTTCTTCCTGTTATTCGCCCTGCACATGTTGAGCTCTGTGTTGAAGGACGAATACGACGCGTACAGCATGGTGGGGGTGAGCAACGGTTGGAAGGGTGACCATTCCAAGGACCCCGTGACGACCCACCAGGCACGCGTCATGGCCGAACATATCGGTCTTCCACATAAGAAGAGCGAAACGATGCAACCGAATGATGGTAACAGAGGAGGGGAGGGACGGATTGAGGCGGCCCATGGCGCGGCTTCCTACGATGCGGCTTCCCATAACGTGCTGGACCGCACCCTGGGAGCGACGCACGCTGGATACGAAGTACTCTCCCTGGAAGACATAGCAAAACCGATAAAGGAGGGATCAGAAGGATTTTTCGCAGTGCAATACAATTCGATTTTTAAAATATCTGTAGCGTTTACGACGTTTCTGCTGCTTCTTTACATGGTGAGAGGAGACTACACAAAATTGCCCCGAGAGAAAAGCAGCATAGTGGAGGGTACTACAGACAAATACATAGTAATATCACCCTTTGCCTACAGCATAATAACCTCCATTTCATTTCTCCTTGGAGCTAGCTGCAGCTCTGTAGCAGCGTATAACGGCATTTATGTAGCCGTCCGGGCCAATGTCCGTGTGGCAAAAGCGTCCACTTATTCGTATAGGAAAGCTTTGATGACCTGTTTTAGGAGCGGGGCAATCAGTGCCATTGTGAACGTGGCGCTTGCTATATTTGGTATCTGCTGTTTACTAGTGTTAATAAACATTTTATACCCCTCCTTGTCGTTTGTAAAATATCCCCTACTGATTGTTGGCTACGGGTTCGGAGCTTCTCTAGTAGCCATGCTGTATCAGCTAGCTGGAGGTATATACACGAAGGCAGCCGATATAGGTGCCGATTTAGTCGGGAAGGTAGAGAAACATATTCCAGAGGATGATGCGAGGAACCCAGCTGTTATTGCAGATCTGGTTGGAGACAACGTAGGTGACTGTGCAGGTCAGTGTGCAGATTTGTTTGAATCGATATCCGCGGAGATTATTGCATCTATGATTTTGGGAGGAACCTTATGTGAAAATGGAATCATTTCTGAGAAAAGGGCTAACTACTTTGTTCTCTTCCCCCTGTTTGTCCACTCCCTGGATTTGCTCGTTTCCACCATTGGGGTGTACCTTGTTCGGACCAGGAGTGACTACGCAGGCGCTCCAGTGGGAAAGGAGAATCGCCATAATATCAAGCGCCACGTGGGAGCGGAGCAGTGCACCCATCTTAATAACACATCCTACAGTGGAACAATGCAGAATTGTGCAGATGTGAACGTACACAGTGCAAATGGAGACACAGCATTGTCGGCCCTGAGCTGGGACCGTAACAAAGATGACGAACTAGAGATAATAAGCGCAGATTTAGAGAACCCACTAAAGGTGATGCTAAGAGCGTATGTTGTTACTTGCCTCCTCGCCATGGGTGGTTTTTTTTTCTTCTGCAAAATGTTGTTTTTCTTGGGGGAAGACTGCCCAAATGATTATTCGTGGGTCTACCTGTCCTTATGTGGACTCGTTGGTATGATTTGCTCTTACCTGTTTGTGCTGCTAACCAGATACTACACAGATTACTCCTACCCGAAGGTGAGAAAGATAGCTCATGCGTCTTTAAGCGGACCAGCTACTAACATAATAACAGGTCTATACGTCGGCATGGAATCAACCTTCCTCCCCACGATCGTCATTTCGGTTTCTCTTCTGGTTTCCTACTACCTAGGATTAGCAAGCAACCTGACTGGAGATGGGCGTGCTATAAATGGGCTCTACGGCACATCCGTGGCCACGATGGGGATGCTCTCCACAGCAGTTTTCATTTTGAGCATGTCTAATTTTGGACCGATAGCAGACAATGCAGGTGGAATTGTAGAGATGTCGAATCAGCCTGAACACGTTCGATTCATTACAGATAAATTAGATGCAGTTGGAAATGTAACCAAGGCAAATACAAAAGGGTACAGTGTTGGTTCTGCTGCTCTGGCATGTTTTTTACTCTTCTCTGCCTTTCTTAGTGAGGTTTCTCTCCATGCGAAGACCCCTTTTACTACAGTCGATATTGCCTTGCCAGAAGTATTCATTGGGGGGATTCTAGGATCCGTTGTGGTGTTCCTTTTCGCTAGCTGGTCCTTAGATGCAGTTGGAAATACAGCCGAAGAAGTTCTCAAAGAAGTGCGCAGACAGTTTAATGAGCACCCGGGCATTCTCACCTATGATGAAAAACCAGACTATCACACCTGCGTTTCAATTATTAGTAGGAAGGCACTGATCGAGACGATTAAGCCGGGGCTTCTCGCACTATTTGCACCCATCATAATTGGGTTGCTTTTTAAGCAAATTGGAAATTTCCGAAATAATGGCCTGCTAGGGGCACAAGTCATTGCTTCGTTTATTATGTTCTCCACGTCGACCGGCATTTTGATGGCTCTCTTTCTCAACAACGCCGGGGGAGCATGGGACAATGCAAAGAAGTACATCGAGTCTGGTTTCTACGGAGGGAAGAACAGCCCTGCCCATGTGTCCAGCGTAATTGGCGACACTGTGGGCGATCCCTGCAAAGACACCGCGGGTCCCTCCATCCACGTCCTCATCAAGTTGATTTCGACCATCACCATGGTAAGTTCAGTGCGGTAGCGGAGCACCGCAGTAGTGCGGATGGCCACCGTTCAGCGGTCTAGCTGTTTGGCGGTCAGGCAGTTTGGCGGTCAGGCAGTTTGGCGGTCAGGCAGTTTGGCGGATCACCATGTTAACCGTTCGCATGCCCTGGTGCGGGGCGCCACCATGAGGACCACCTCGTTCCCGCGATTGTGTGAAGCCATCGGGAGTGAACTACATACGGCGTTGCTGTGTATCGCCTCTTTCGCCTCGTTCGCCTTGTTCGCCCCCTTCACCGCCTCCACCCGTCCCCATTTTGCAGGTGATGACCCCCCTGATCGCGTCCTCCCCTGAGATGTAGTTCCCCCGAGCGCGAATCCCCTCCTGCGTTTGTTCACGTGTCGAATTTTTTTTTTTCGTGTTTAGGGGCGCCGCGTCGTGCCCCATTGGTCGGGCGAAAAAGAGTTGCACACATGAATGGTGGCAATTTTGCATCAATTTCGCCTCCATTTTGCATCAATTTCTTTATGTGGAAAGCCGTACACGCAGAGCAGCGGTGCGCCGGTTGCTCCACTGTGTCAGCTGCACTTCGCGTTTGTCGTTGTGTGTGCGATTTCGTTTCTTTCCGTTTGCCCTTTCATGCCACCACTTTGTTTGATCATTTGATTACCCCTATTATGTGAAAACGAAGCAGAGTGAAGGGACCCCACTTTGCTGCCGTTTTTTTGTTAAAATGAAGTAAAACGTCAAAGGAAGAAGCGCTCGTCGGCACAGATGCTCGTCGGAGGACATGCTCGTCGTTTCGACCACGTCGCTGTCTCGTGTCTGTTCATTCACTGAAGTCGCCATACCCTCTTTAATGATAACATGGGGGGTGAGCAGAGTGAAGTGCCATTGGGGCTATCGCTGATGTTTTCCCCTGTTGGCGAGCCGTCACAATGGGCTATCAACTTGAGACGTGAGATTTTCAATCTCAGCAATGCGACATGACGCGCAACGGTCGACTCTTCAAATGATCGATCATTGCGATCGAAATCAGTTAAAAAGAACAAAAAAAGCAAATCGAACGTACGTTCACAGAAGGAACCCCATCACAAATATGCGCGTGACCGTTTGGGATGGACGACCTGTCGTGTGGTACACACCTAGCTCATTGTCGAAGAGGTGACGCAAGGGAAGCGCCGCATTTTGGCGTGTACTTCGCACTGTATGTGATCTCGAAGTGAGCAAAAAAAAAAGAAAAATGAAAGAAAAAAAAAAAGAAATAAAGGAGAAATGCCCATCTTCATGGCGACTGTCCTGTCACGTTGTTCCCTTTCACTGTTTATTTATTTTTATTCCCCTCCCTTTGAAACTCGCCAAAAGGTGTAGTGGCAAAGATAGGCAACGCACCGTCGAACGGAAGACGGCGTCATCAGCATGCAGTGAAAATTGCTATCGCTTAAAGCTGCGAAGCGGTGAAATATGGCCACACGTGTGCCCACTTGAATGCTCTTATGCACGAGCCACTGGTATGAGCCCATGTACGTACATGCACATGTTCACACGGATAGATGCGTCGACAAGCTTTCCTCCTCCTTTCTTTAAACGCATCCACTTGCGAAGTAAAATAAAAGCAAAGAACCACGAATTCCTCCACTGCAACCGGTGGAAGTAATTTTTTTCTTGTTTTTTTTCACCACACATGTGAAAATATTTTTATCATATTGATGAATGGCATTTTAACACAATCAGTCATTTTTTTTTTTTTTTTTAAAGAAACTATCCGAATGTTTTTCTTTTGCTTATCAAAACGAACGGTTCATTCCTGAAATTACAACAACAAAAAAAAAACTTTTTGCGAAATCGCTGTGTTATAGGCCAGCAGAGATACGTCCTCCCTCATCCTGACATCTGTGCGCGCTGTGCTTACCGGCAAGGTGAAGCACCTGGAACGCAACTACCTACTGAACGAGGGGCCGCTGCGTAGCGCATCGTCCTATAGCGGCTTCTGATCCCTCTTACTAGCATCCTTCCCACTGCCGACACCGCGGAGTGCAAAAAATGGCACACTCAGCCAAGGACAAGAATATCCGTCTCGAAAGGCACAGCGCGGGAAAAACCCAGGCGTACGGAGACCTCAGTGTGCGCGCCGGGACTGGGAAATTCAATTGGGGTTAACTGATGAGCGTGCACATATGTGAGTGTCCCAAGGAGGAAGGGCACTATGGACGTCGCCCCGTCCTTGCGCATTTATTCACGTTTATTCTTATTATTTTTTTTTTTTTTTTTTTTTTTTTTTTTTTTTTTTCCCAACACACGTACGACCCATACGAGAAGGCAACACAACGACGGATTTGACCCTGAGCGAGAGCAAACCCACGGATAAAAACGACCCCATGTATGATAGCGAAATTGAGAAAGTCACCAAAGAAGAGAAAAGATAAAGCAACGAAGGAAGGCTCCTTGGAGGGACAAGTTTTCCCATATGTTATCCCCACGCCAGGGTCCTTTTTGCGCACAACATGTGTGTACATGTGTTCACATGTGTGTATATAACTATATATACAAGCGCGCACAACTTTTTAATATATTTTTTTTCTTTTCCTGAATGATTCATGTGATATGATCTGCACAAGTTAATAAAAAGGAGGAGAGGGGTCTCTAACCTCCGGTCGCAAAGGGATGCGGCGCAGTCCTATCACCAAAAAGAAAAAAAAAAATAATAAAACATTGCTTACGTATTACAAGAACAATTTTCCGACTGAATGATAACCTAAACTGCAACCTAATGTCATCCTTTTTTTTTCTTCTTTTGGGTACCCACCTTCGGCGCTAAGTTTATTAAAAGGGGGATAAATCCCCCACGCGTCCACGGAATGGATCACAGGAGATATACAAAACAAGTTGCACCATTGTAGACAGGGAGGGAGGGGGGTCATGGATGAAAAGATAGCCATCAGAGAAGTGGCCTGTATGGCGGTATGCCGAAAAAAGTATGAACAGTTAATAAAAAAAAAAAAAAAACAAAGAAAAAGAAAAAGAAAAAGAAAAGAAACCATTACAATGAATACATTTTTGGCTGATAAATGCAGCGCAACGGACATGCGATATGCCCCTTTTCTATTTCGCGATAAAACTCAAATGGCTGCACACACGCCCAACCAACCCCAAACGGAGTGAGAACAAATCAAAATATAGAACTGTCACTCGTTTCTGCGTCGTCCGATACCACGCAGTCCCCCTTGTTCACGTTTTCCCCGCTGAACAATTTGCAAGTAGCTGAACTTCTGCTAACAGGAATGATGATATTTAGGAGGTGATATCTTTCCAAATATTGCGACACCGCTTTTGACGATTCGAAATAGAAAGGAAACCGTATGTTGAAGTTTTTGTACGGGGGGTTGTGTCCTTCTGGAAAGAGAGGCGATCTAAAATAGGGGTGGGGGAAAAAGGAGAAAGGGCATGCTGAATATTCACAAACTTTCGTGTGTGCAAAAATAGGCCGCTCTATCTGACTTGTTCAGGTGAAAAAGCTAAAATGGGGAATTTTTTTTTCCCCCTCATTTTGTGGCTACACCCTCTCTCCTCCTTTCGCATGGGCTGCCTCCCCACGTGCGCGCAAGCACCTACTTCTTAAAAAAGACGGCCAGGTGGTCATCGCTGATGTACAGATTTACAAACTGGTGAACGGCGAAGGGGCGGCGCTCCCCCCTTGTTTCACTGCGTTGCGCGAGGATGAAGAAAGGCAGCTGAATTTGAATAACGCATATCGTATTTATCACCTGCTCGTAACGTAAAAATTCGTCGTCCAATTCGATGTTGTATTCGTTCAAGAACGACTTGAAAATGGCATTCTTTTTTGTTTCTTTCCTTTCAATTTTTTCGATTTCGCCGATCTTGCCAATTTTTCCGATTTTTCCTTTTTGCTTCCCATTCGCACTCTTGAAGGGGGGTTTAAAGTCGAAGCAGTCGATGGTGCCGCTTAGTGGGGACGTGCGCAGGTATGGAAGGTAAAACATTTCCATCCGTTGATGTCGCTCCTCGAAGGTCTTCTTATCGACAAACCACATATCCCACTCGGGTTTCTTAACAGATAAAAAATTTTGAATGTCTTCTTCGTTGACTTGGTTCCCCGGGCAGGTTGCGTCACCTGCTTGGTTGCTGGTCTCCTCCACGACGTTGAACTTGTGTTGCTGGTCGTCCTTTATGAACTGATCATCCGGGCTGCTCCCTGGGAAGGGGCGGAGTGCATGGGAGGAATTACATCTGAAATGTGCATCGATTTGTGTGCAACGTGGAGGTGGCCACCGGTGTGTTATGCCAAGCTATGGTATGTTATGCTATGCTACGTTGTCTTTCTTTTTTCTTTTTTTTTTCTTTTTTTTTTTTTGTGTTTACCCACCTTTGTACTTATGATCGGGGAAAAAGAACAAGTTCGCGCAGGTGTCCGTGTTGTACTTATTTTTGATGGCCACCTGAACCAACTCGGCAATAACTTTCTTTAATTGAAGATTTTTTTTGCTTTGCGAAACAACTTTTGAGTTAAGAACAATGTCGTACGTCTTGTATTTCTGCCCCTTCTTATCTTCTCTCTGTTTCTCCTCGCCAATGCTCAGTGGGATTCTTAATCCCTCGTTATCATTTAAGTCTGGCATTTTTTTGAAGTGAAACTCGGCAATCAGGTTGGACGACAGAATGTTGAAGTAAACCTTTCCTCCATCCTTTTCGTACGCCTTTATGACGAAGCCTTTCTGGGGACTTATCTTTATTGTCTTTTCCTTGTTTACCAAGTTGGTCAGCTTAGACGACGCGAATTTGAAATTCCTCGCCCCTTTCTCGAAGTAGCTATGGTACAGGCTGTCCATTTTTTTTTTTTTTTCTTTTTTTTCTTAAAATGAGGGTGGAACAATAGGAGTAGCCCAAGTAGGGGTGTTAATACATTCCCTACGTGAGAGTTACAATTGGGATTATAACGTAGGGTTAGAAACGTTAACGTGTGCGATTGGAATGGATTCTATTCATATAGAGAGGCGTACAATGAGGAAAGCTCAGAAATGGCATCATATGGGGGTTCCATCATAGAGGTGAACATTCTTTTTTTTTTTTTTCTTTTTTGGACTAACATAGTGCTGTCCCGCGCATTTCTCATCGTCGCTGTGTGGATTTGTACCAGAGACCACTTCCCTTCCACGCGCAGCGAAAAAGAGGAAAGACGAATTTTCGTATCGCTGTTGCGGTTTCGAATCCTTTCCTTTTCCTGCGCGAGTACCTCCCCTCACAGGTGCCCATTAACTCGCACTTATTTTCCCCTTTAAGATTTCATTTCACCTTCTCAGAGCAGAAATATGCGTCTTTTAAAATAATGTAGGAAAAATGTATTAAAAGGGAAAAATTGGCTTAATTGCTACGCGTCTTGGTCCTTTTGCGTGTTTTAAACGTGGTAAGGCAAAAGGTGCGTCCCCGATGGGGTAAATGGTGGGTCGCTGGAGGCGGCTGTGGGGCCCACCATGGTGGGTGCGCGCGGCGAGCATCCCCATGGCCGCACATATATATGTATACATCCGTGCAGAGTAGGCAAGTACGTACGAACACATTTACTTTTTCGCGTTTCACGGTTTGTATCCGCAAGGATGGACGGGGTATGAAGGTACACACTGGTTTCTCCTCCCCCGTCGTCGCAGATTAGACTTGATTTTCAGGTTCTCTTCTCCTTCAAACGGTGAGAGAAGTCGTCTGTGTATTTGCATGTGTATGTGCGTGTGGCGCCTCCTACGGCCTAGGAGTCCTCTATTCACATCGACTGCTGACATGACTTCAGTGAGTCGGCGTAGTTCTGGCAGAGGCTGATATCCGAGTGCCTCGTCAGGCACTGCATGGGGGGGGGCGGTGAAAATGTGTGTGAAAAGGTCGACACGACGGATATAAAATGGGTCGTTTGATACTTCCCCTGTTGACCCAGTAATAGGGGAGTAGAATCGCAAAAAAGATAACGTGTTTGCCTCTCTCTCTCTATGTCGCACCTGGTTGAGCTCCTCCTGCAAGGGCTTGCACCTGTAGTCGCTGCTCCTCTCGCTGCTCACAGCTGCCGCCTGGTTCATGTGGGCATTGTTATTTTGGTGCGAAACTTCGACATGCCTTGGTCCCAGAATGGCATCGACAGCTCTCTGGGCTACTCCAAATCCGACCCCAGAGGCCATTCCGCTGGCCACGGTTCCCATCATGTTGGAGATGAACCCACCGGATTTCTGCTGAGGTTGCAGGGCACCTCCCGAATAGCTTTGAGCGCTCGTGCTGTTTCCTCTGCTCATTCCACTGGAGGGGTTTTGTTTAAGGAAGGAGGACCTTGTGCCTGGGAGTTGGGATGGGGGAAGGAAATTAATCGAGTGGGCATGGTACACATGACGCCGGTGGGTATGGCACACCGCAGACCCGTGGGTATCTTCTCCCGTGGATCCCTCCACTGGCTGACCACGAGACTTGTGCGTGTGTAAATATGTATAGGTAGAGGTTGATATGCATGTTTTTTTTTTTTTTTTTTTTCATTTTTTTCCTCTTCTCCACTGTTCGTGCTTACTTAAACCACCCGAGCGGCCCTTGGATGAACGTCCCATTGTTCCGATGTTAAGTGAAAAGGTGGGAGGCGCTGCCAAGGGGATTTGTCCTTCCTTGTGTTGCGCAAAAAAGGCAAATAATTGAGGAGAATTAGAGGTGTGGTGAAGCGCGCCAACAGTTGAACTGCCGTTTGTTAAAGTGAGTTATGGAAAATGTTCGCGGGGGGATGCTGCGGTTTACTCGCGAGGATGTAACTGTGTTTCCGTGAGAAGGGTAAAACTTTTTACTGGTAAGCAATAAAAAAGTTGCTGAAAGATAAAATTTCCGTTGCGCTTTGCTCTTTTGTTTGTTTGCTTCCTCTTCTCTTCGCTTCTTTTCTTTTTCACTTTTTTTTTTTTTTTTTTCCCCCTCAGGAGATGCATCCCTCATGCAGCGCCCGCCGGTCAGCATATCATTTTAAAAGCATTTTTTTTTTCCGCTCTTTTGCACCAAATCAGTTTGGCAAAAAAATTGCTTATACGTTTCATGCTTCCAGGGGGTACGAAAAAAGTGAAATGATCAAATATGGAGTTTATATGCAAAGGGGGAAATATCCAAATATGTTACAGGGAAAGGAGGAAAAAAAAAGAAAGAGGAAAGAAGTGTTAAAATGGGAGTGGACATTGAAGGGGTATAAAAGAACAACCCTCCATTTGACCCTTTTAAAATGGTTTGCCATTTTGAAGGAGGTATTTTCCTTGTTCGTCCCCATTTTGGTGTGACTGTCATCTCTTCATTGAGAGGAAAATTCTTCTTTTATTTTTCCCCCACGTGATAACTTCGCCAACGGCACGTGGGGCAACAAATAACTGGGCAATCGCCAGTCGTTGCAAATTGTTTTCATCGATTTGGTCTCCCCGATTGATACAGAAAAGGGGGAGTGATGCGACGAAATGTATAAGTGTGATGCCTATTCAGTGCATCCTTAACTGTGTCCGCCCGCCTCCGAGGAGACATTCACCCCGGTGCAGCATTCCCGTCTGTACGTTGTCGCATGCTGACGTATGCCTCCTCCTACGGCTGGTTACCTCCTTTTTTTTTCTTTTGCGACAGGCTATGCCGCTGCAATTGGTGACTGCTGAAGTTTGCAGAAGGTTAAAATGGGGCGAACCCAATGGGCCCTCGCTCGGCAGGCTCACACGCCCAAGGGCGAAATGGGAGTTGTTAAAAACGGGGTTCCCCCCAAAGCAGGCACAAACATGAAGACATACGTAAAGACATACGAAGAGACATACATAGAGACTCATATAAATGCATACATATGCACATATAGGCGTACCCCTCAGTGACAAGGGAGCAAAAAAGGAAAAAAAAAAAAAAAAAAACGATTAAAGAATTTTATTCCGAATGTCTTCCAACTTTCGCAGAATGTCATCCGGGGTTCTCTCCAAGTCGGCCGCCACTTTCCTCTGAACGTCGTACGGCAGGCTAGAAAACTGCTCGCATAGGTCTCCGTCAATGACGTGCTGTGAGTTGGGCAAGGCGTAACAGTGTAATGGTGGAACGTGTGTGCACACGGGGGGAGGGGCATACATGTAATGTTCTATCGAAACAGCAACGTCGTGGATCTGCCAAATGGGGGACTTCCTCCAACGGAAGTGTTGCCATGGCCTGGTGCACGCCGCCACGGGGCGTACCTGGACGGGGTGGTAGTAGGAACGAAAAAATATGTGCTCGCGCCCACACAGCGGGGGGTTCTCCGTGCGCAAAATGATTTCCAGGTGTTGAGTCAGCTCCAGCTGCGAGGGGGGGAGGGGGGACGTGGCAGAAGGGAAAGAAAAAAAAGCAAAAAAAAAAAGCAAAAAAAAAAGCAAAAAAAAAGCAAAAAAAAAGCAAAAAAAAAAGAAAAAAAAAAGAGAAAAAAAAACCAACTACAAAGAACAAACCAGGGGCGTATCCACCGCGAGGGCCACACCGCTCTGTGACGTGACCTCCACCTGCGTACCTCCTCCTTATTGTCGTACGGAATGAACGCCCCTATGGTCCCCATGATGGTGGAATATATTATGCATTCGCTGCTGGTGGGGGACAGCTTCACCTTCTGCAGTGACGTGACTATTTCTCCGACGTGGAAGCTCATGATGTGCTCGAGCTGCGGGGGAGGAAGTGGCAACGATGGGAAAGAAGTGTCAACGGTGGCAACATTGGCAATAATGACAAGCGCGACAAAGAGCGACAACCGTGTGTGGGTGCATGCGTTTTGCTGCGATCCCGCACGCCGGGCTTACCCGCCTGTTCTTGTTCGAGCCGGCCATCATTTCGCCTCCGTACCAGCACTTGTTCGATATGCCATACTCCTCCTGCTTGGCCTCCTCGGGCACCTGCGGGGGGAACAACATGTGAGGAAGCGGTCACATTTTAGGGGGGATACCCTTTGGCGACATCTCACTGGGAGAATATCCCCTTGGGAAGAGCTTATTGTGGAAATACCCCTTTGGGAGAGCTTATTGGGGGAATACGCCTTCGGGACAGCTCACTGGGGGAATGGCCGCCTAGGCGCCCTGACGCCCACTCACCCGCAGGACAAAGACGGAGTCGAACTTGTCGGCCGCGATAATCGTGTGATGGTCGAGGATCTCGGAGCATGTGATCCACCTGGGAATGATATCATCTGAAATTAACCTTAACGTGTTCATATTGGCGTCGTAAAAAAAGATTAAGACGGACTCTCGGATGTCGGAGGCGAAGATACGATCGCCAGAAACCTTAATGGAGATAATCGCCTCAGGGATGTCCTTGTATTCGCATTTTTTTAGTAACTTCTTCTTTCCTAGTGCGTATATTCTGAGTTTGTTTCCAATGGAAGCTAGGAGTCTTCCGTTGAAAGGACAGAAACAGAATGGCTGGTCTTCTATTGCCGTTATGTGCAGCAGGTTCAGTTTATAATTGATGTCGTATGTGTACACACGGAGAGCTGCTGCTGGAGCAGTGCGGTTTTTTATGGACAAGTTAGTCGTCGTGCCAACGATTAGACAGTGGAGAGCCTCCAGCTCACAGGCACAGACACTCAAGGCCGCTTCTTCCATCTCGAGGGAAATTTTATCAATCGTTTGTAAACTGACTGGATGGATTATCTTTATGCAGGAGCCCCACTTCCCCGGGCCTGCCTTGAAGGTTCCTATTCGATCGTAGAGGAGAGCTTCTTCTTCCTCCTCGTCATCCTCCTCTTCTTCCCTCGTTTGGGCACTCCCCTTGTGGTCAAGTCCGTCCAGGGGCTGCCCTGTTGAATGCCCCTGGTTGTGCGCCCCATTGGGGAGGTTGTTCCCCTGCAGATCGCCCCCAGCCGAGTGGGCCGATCGGTCGGCAGCGGCATGCTCCTCCCCGTCGAGGTGGATACCCTTGAGTGCCATCTGAATCTCGCGCAGGGTATTCTCGTCGTAGGCATTATGGTCCGCCTCGATGATGGCGAGCATGCGGATGCTCTTCTGTCGCTCAATTTCGATGGACGTGTCGTGGTCGTAAAAGAGGGAAGGGAAGGGAAGCGGTACGATCTTTCTCGGAGTAAATGTTAAGTGTAGAATATTCTGACTGAACACTTCCCCCAAACGGTAGAAGCGGAAGATACGGAGACTACTTCCTGAAATAGCTACGTACCCATCGGAGCATTGCTCGGAATGGAACGATGATGCGTACTCCAAGATGTCATAATTTAAAGGAGAGTAAATATATTTTCCCTGATGAACATAACATAAGTAGGTCTTCTCGCATAGGACTAGCAGAGCTGAGTTTTTCTTCACATGGACGGGACATATTTTGACATTTTTGGCCCCCAAATATTTGGAGTAATGATTAGTAAGCGTGCCTGTAACGGGATCCACCACACTTCGCAGGAGCACTCCGTTGTTCAGTCCGATGTTAAGGAAGAGCATTTTTCTTTCCTTGTGATTTCCCAGTTCACTCATTTCAGAGATACAAATGTCCTGCGCTGAGGAGTTATTTGGCAAGATAAAGGTAGAGAGTTGATTAAAATATTTTTCCTTTTCGATGGAAAGCAATCTGACGACGTTATCGAGACATCCGACTGCTAGGAAGTTGGCCCTCACTCTGTTCTCCTCCACCTGTTGTATGGAAAGACATAACGTTTCGACGTTTAGATTTTTTCTAAATGTTTCCACTAAAGTGTGTGACTCATCAATTTCGAAATATATTAACTCTCCTCCGCTGAGCGAAATAACAATTTGAGCACTATTTGACGTGGCTGCTTTGATTTGTTTGTTTTTGGGAGGTACCCATTCGTTTACGACCTTCCCGTTGATGTGTCTTATCCCTGTATCGTGTATTTGAAGAAGAGAGTTATCGTAGAGGATATTCACATGAATGGTCGTGACGTTGGTTAGGAGCAAGCTGTCTACGACCTCCTCGACTGTTTCTCCAATCTCGAGGATAAGTGTACTGCCTTCAAAGCTGACGATGATATATCCATCATAATCACTAGCGTTGTCTTTCTTAATTGTCCATATGAATTTTGGCCTTCCAGGAAGCTCATTATCGGCTAACTCTTCTATACTCAATCCATGCTGCAAAATGCGAAGGGATGATCTGGGTCCCCTACCACAAAGGGCATAAATCTGAGGAGTGCTCGCATTCTTTGCATCGATAATCTTCATGTCCAAGATGGGAGACAAAGAATATACCTGATCGATGAGAAACAGGTTTGTAAGCTTCTTCGTCCTAAAGGCAATGATAGCATTTCTCCCTGACGGGTGTTTTGACGTGCACATGGCTTCATTATCGTCATCTCCTATTCCAGAAAATTGATAAAAGAAGTGGTTCCCAAATTCGGCGGCTACGAAAAGAGATCCTGACTTCATCACACATATCGCATTAGCTACAGGGACGGTGTCGAAGTATTTGCATGTAATCTCTTTTACTATCCCATCGTCATGTTCCATTTCTATTTTGTACAGATCGCCAAACTCCGATTGAATAAGAATGAAAAAAAACTTCCTAATTCTGTGAAGGGTGCTGCACACGATGGAGATGTTTTTCTCCTGTCCTGTTTCGAGTCTCCTCGGGTAAGCACAATACACATCGGTGTGATCCACCTTCTTATAAACCAAGTAATTATCGCAGCAAACGATGACTCCACTTGGTCCTTGCTGCCCTCCAGGAATGGGTATTAACAGATGTGCGCTGCTATCAATCGGGAGAGTACACTTCCTAATGACATGATTTAATCCTAAATCCATTTCCCAGAGACAGAGAAGAGTTTTCCTTGCACAGCCATCGATCTCACTTGTGTTTGTCACCTGCTTATCATACATTTCGTAGTTCTGCTCAATCGATGCGAACATTGGATTCTCAAACCCAACATCCATCCCGACTACGTCATGGCATATTGTGTGTGATTTGTGTGCATCGAGGGGGCTACTAATCGTTAGTTGCTCTTTGCTGTCCCGATTTAGTATGTATACAAACTTCTGCCTCTCGATGGCACATATCATCAGGGCTCTTCCCTTTGGATCCACCGCTATGTACTCTCCGGGGATGATCCTACGAAGGCCACTCTTCCCGTACGTTTCACAGTGCACTCGAACGAAGTCATTTTTCTCGTTGCTAAACTGAAGGATAACTAACCTCCCCGAGTCGCTCCCAATGACGACATAATCTTTGTTGCTTCCAGTCAGACGAAACGTCTGCAGGCAGCGGATAATCCCGAAGATGTCCTTGGACGTTATTAGGTTGAGCTTTCCCTGCTTGTCCGCCCTTAGCAGCTCCAGCACTTGTCCCTTCGACACGACAATTTCGTGCACCTTGGGCCCGGAGAAGTTTCCATACGCGATTTTGGTAATCGCCGTGGGCTTCTGCAGCGTCAGGTGGTACAACACCGGCATGGTGGGAAAGGCGGCGAGGGGGACAGGGGTGGCAAACGTGGAAAACGTGGCAAAGGCGGAAAAGGTCGCAAGATGGCCAACTTATCAAACGGCCTGCTCTCGAATAGATGTGACTCCCCACTGAGGCGCCCCTCCCCTGGTTTGTTTTCACTCCGATGGGGACCCCAAAAGAAAACGTGTTGGAGGTGTGGGAGGTTCGGGACGTACGGTAGCTGCGACGGATGCTGAAGGTGCGCGAATTTCAAGTGGCCCCCCTTAGAAGGTTTAACCCCAACGGAGGGAACAAACGGGAAGAGGAGCTTCTACTACCAAGTCGTCTCTGCAAGCGGAGCATCTCTCCTGTGGACTTCTCATCAGTGTGAATTCAACTTTTTTTTGTTTTCTTCCTCTTTTTACAGGCATGTCACGGTTTGGTGAGCGGGGAAAGATACAGGTAAAGGTGTGACGCTAAGCCAGGTTCGATTGTCACCCCCTTTTCCTTCGGACGTGCACTCTCTCAATAGGAGCCGCCCCCTCGCCCGCTCTCCTGGGGCTAACGTTCCCTCGCACGAGTCGAAGGAGCTACTCGTTGATCCTCTACAAAGTTCACCCGCCGAGTGTTATACTACATAGATGACTCACTCTTTACAGACGTGACAGCCATGTTGGAGTAGGCACATAGAATAATCTTCTTCTAATCCCCTCCCCCATTTCTTTGGCATCCTCGAGGGGTTCATGCGAAAGGAATAGTTGTGTAGGGAGGACATACATACATGCAGGTTATTTATAGGCGTAGTGAACGGTTGCTACAAAACTAGAGCAGGGTAACCACAGATTCGGAAAAGAGGCACATCGCGTGGGTAAGAGAAATGCTTCTTCTCCCATGTCAGGAAGCCAAGTGGTATTTGCAAACATCAGAGAGGAGAAAACAAAAAAAAAAAAAAAAAAGTGTTCAGTTCATGGGGCAAGCATACGTACAACTGAATATTATTTTTATTTCCTTCAATGTATGCACGTTTTTTTTTGCATCCTACGAGCCGACGGAATATAGCCAACGTTGGAGGAACGAATCGGCGATGTCGAGAGGAGGCACCCTTCTGTACGGCAAAGGTTACAAAACCTGAGGCGGGACCACGAGGAAACGCCATCACTTCTTTGTTACAAGGAAGGATGCACCACTTGCGTTCGTGTCGACTGTTCAAGCGGCCTACATATTTATACACGCATATAAAACGGTATGGAGTCTCCGCCCTGCGTGTTAACCGCAACAAAGGAATGAATCATGAAGTAGTTTTTCTGCTTTGGCGAAATGGTCCAATGGGTGAGGTCACCTGAACGGGTCATGTGGATGTGACACCTTGGTGGAGCGGGGGTAGAGAAGCAAAAGGCAACTCCCCGTGTGGGGGAGAGGGCGGGGCTCACCCGACTGGTCTCGCCAGATCCTGTGTGGTTGAGTCACCTCCGTTATTTTGAAGAAGCTTCCTTTGAAGGATAACTGGGAGGAGGAGAAAAGGGAAAAAAAAAGAGAGAGAGAAAAAAAAAAACCCACAATGGATAATTATACACAGAGGAAAATACACCCAACTGTGACACCCTGTGTGGAGTCCACCCCACACCTCTGGTACAGTTGCTGCCATAACGCTGGGAAGCTTCAAACGGTTTGTCTCATTTGTAAGCGGACGATAAAATCCCAGTGATAGGGGGCACCATTTGGAACCTGTTCCTATGACCCCTACGATCAGATCAATGGTCAGAAGGTTGGGTCCACCTTCGTGAGGCCATCGCAACACTATGGAAGAACTACGTATCCTTTTACGTGGGGGAAGACTCTCCAGCTCGCTTCCATCAGGATAGATAGGAAAAAGCGTCCAATTTGTCTTTCCTTTTTTTTTCACACTGTAACATATACCGCGTGCACATTTGCATGGAAGGAACTTCGAAACCATTTATTTGTGGCGGGGGGGGGGGGAAAAAAAAATCCCTCGACGGGGTGTAGTTACAGCTCCGGTGAGGTGCCCCGCGCTTGTCTATCAGAATGGACCGGGTCGATTGGCATCCCATCCACTGAAGATACGAATAGAACACCATTGGGCGTCACTCGTGAGGGAGTTCTCCGTTCCAAGCACGTCCACAGCTCTTCCTTTTGTTCAGTCTCTTTCTGAATGGCCATCCTGGTGGACCTTCGTTTGTTCCAGCCGTGAGTAGAAGTCTCTACATGGCCAAGTTTATAGCGGCGCCAATTTGCTATAGCGTCGATTTGTGACGCCGCTACCCTGTGATACCTCTTTTGTTTGGCGCCTGTCGCACCCCCGAAATGGCCCCCTCCATGCTGTTTCCAATCGTGCTACTCCTCGCACTGCTGGGGGCACGCCTCCCGAGCGACTCCCATCCATTTGCAGATGCTGGAAGCACGGAGGAAGTCACACCCGTGGGGGACCTAAACGTGAGCGGTGAAACGGGCCAATTCGATGACCTATCTCACTTCTCCAGAGAGCTAATTGAGCCTCTTTCGCATTTCTTGAAGAGTGTCCCCGCCGCAGGTTTGTCCACATGGGGGAGTCACTCCATCGGGGCGTCACGCCATCGGAGCATCTTAACATGACAACGTAACGAGACGAAGCCGCCCCGTTGCCGCCCCGTTGCCGCCACACCGCCGCCACACCCCCCTGCAGCGCTCCAAGAGAAGGTGAAGACCCAAGTGGCCAAAGCAGCGGAGAGCCTGGAGTTGCCCAATCCGGAGGAAGAAGAGTGCGAAATTAATTACGCTGAGTTGTGCCCCGAAGGATGGGGTGACTGGGGAAACGGAGACAACTGCATAAGTCCTGCTAGCTACCAAGGGCCATGTAAAAAGAAGATTCCATCGTTCGTGAATTCAACGCCTAGAGAGAAATTCAACTTCTCCATCGAGTGCGATGTGTCATGGCCATGCCTGCACAGATGTAGTGAAGAAGATCTCCTAGAGCAGTGCCCCGAAAGTTGGACCCTCAAAGGGAACCTCTGCCACGCCCCCAAATCTTACAGGGGCAAATGTGTGCGGAAAAAGATTTTTACCCATTTGGAGAGTGCAGAAAAAAAGGCATGGGCAGAGGCATGCGACATCAGTTGGCCCTGCTCCAAGAAGAATTACAACTTTGATGATCTCTGTCCGAAGGACTGGATGCCTAGTCCGGATGCTACACAGTGCTCCGCGAGTAGCTCTTATATTGGACCGTGTGGTCCTGTTTTGTATGTGTCCCATCTGAAGGAGGTGGAGAAGAGGTCTCTAATGAAGAAGTGTAACGTGGAATGGCCTGTCCGAACGAATGCGGAGGGGAAGAACGTACAGGAGAAGAACGTACCGCAGCAGGTGTGTCCTCTTGGGTGGACTATTAGCACCTCCCAGAAGAGGGGAGGAGGGACCACCTGTTCCCCCCCCTATTCGTACAACGGTCCCTGTGCGCAAAGTGAAGAAATAAGAAACATCTCCTTCGACCATATGAGCAGGGAAGAGAAGTATCAACTGTCCCGAAGGTGCGACTTTATGTGGCACTCTGAAAATGAGGAGTATCAAAATTTCGAGTTGCCTTGTCCTTACAACTGGGTTCTAGCCGATACAGCAGATCACATTTGCATAGCTCCTGTGGAGTATACACACCCGTGTAACAACATTTCCTCCTTCAAAGGTTACACGCACGAGATGAAGGCTGCCTGGGCCTTCCGATGTAAAGCCCCTTTCATTAACGAACAATCATTCGGAGGGGGACTCCTAAAGGGTAAACAGATGGGGAGGAAATCCAAGAAGGGAAAAATAGTTGGTCTGAATAGACAAGTGAGCAATGGAGGTATTCTCCTTGCAGATGCACCTTGGGAGAGGGATGGTCCCATAGGCTCCGTCACGTCCAACTATGATAGAGGGCAAGGCAATGCTGCCACCCGTAAGGAGATCCTTCCGAACCATGATGAATCGTTAATGCACACAAGGGGGGAGACCTTACCTGTAAGTGAAGGCAGCACTGAGGACCACCCCCACGAGTTTATCCTAAGCGACCAGAAAATTACGGAGCTTCTTCTCCTCAAGCAGGCAACGAAGGATCATGAGTTACGGAGAAACATAGATGACGTTGTGCAGACGTTGAGGAGGGGGCACTCCCCCCGGGGGGCAAACGGATTCTCCTTTCTACAGGTCACTACCAAGGGGGAGAAGTCGAGCAGGTCGAGAAAGACTCTTCACGAAAAACTCGACGTGGGATCTTCACCTGTTAGGAAGCAGAAAAAGAAACCGCTGCGAAGGGGGGACGCAGAGGAACAGTCTCCTGTGAGGACTTGGGACGCTCCCCTCACTGCGGAGGCACAAAATTTAAGCGAAATTAGAAAGTTGTACCGGAGTTATCAACTCGAGAAGGCGGACCAGTCATACTACGAGCACATCTGCTTCGAAAAAAACTACTCGGAGTGCCCCCTGGGATGGACTAAATTGAGTGGCAAGCAGTGCATGGCCCCAAGTTCGTATAGAACCAACGTGCACAAGTGCAGCTCCATGATAGACCTAAACGAGTTCACCAAAATGGTGTATGACGTAGCTCATGACATGTCCTTCGTCGCATTCGATGAAGAAAGGATAAGAAAACTAGAGAAAAAATGTGGTTTGGCATTTCCCTGCAACGACTGCGAACGGGATTACGTGCAGGTGTCTTGTCCCCTCGGCTGGACTGAAACGAATGACCAATGGTGTGAAGCTCCGGCAGATTACCCACCACATTTGAAAGAGCTCTGTGGAGCCCGTGTCAACTTTAAGTATGCCACTCCACTCATTCGACGTAACTGGAGCCTTTTGTGTCGATCCGACTGGCCGTGCTTTTCTCCCTGCGAGAAGAACTACGCGGCGGTGTGCCCCCTTGGGTATGGGCTGATAAACGAGCGCCTGGACACCGCTAGCGGGGGGATCATTCACGTCTGCGTGAATAGGAGCTGGGCGCCGAGTAGCACAGAAGTTGTCCGGGCAGAAGTTGTCCCGGCAGAAGTTGGCCGGGCAGAAATTGGCCGCTTCGAAGCTACCCCCTTAGAGGCTAACCAACCAAATGCCTGTCTCGTGATCGAAGTGTACAACAGTGTGGAGATAAAGAAAGATATCGAACGGAGGTGTCGAGTTATTTGGCCCTGCCTGGAAAAGTGCGTGCAGGATTATCACCAGACGTGTCCGTACGACTGGCTCCTCAAGAAGAATAACTGCATAGCGCCATACCATTACAACCCCCCACAGGGGTGTTCCAAATCGTTTGCAGTCCGATCGTTTAGCTCCTTCGATAAGTACCTCTTCTCAAATAAATGTTTCGCTCCTTGGCCATGTACCAATGCTTGCCAACAGGACTGGTCCCAACCCTGTCCCGCTGACTGGACTTTGCTAAAACAGAGAAGTGGTAAAAGTACCCTGCATAGCAAGACAGAGGCCATTCCTCTCCTTTGCAGACCGCTAAAACGCTACATGCAGAGGGGTGTGTGCACAGACGAATACTACGATTTAACAGACTTCACCTTTCTGCAGAAACAGGAGTTTTCTCATCGTTGTGGTGTCAGGTGGCCATGTGGCAGCAGCTCTGGGGTGTCTTCCCCCAATTGGCAATCGGAGAAGGTGTACTACGACGTGGGGTTCCAGCGGCTAAGGACGCTGCGTTTTTATGATACCCACTACGCTTCGAGGTACGCCAAGTCCGGCAGTTCCTTCTTCTAAGCTGGACGTGCCGGGCCTGGCAGTTTTTGTTTGCAATTGTTTTGTGCCTAGCAGTTCGGCGTGCTCTGATTTTTTGCGAAGTCGTCCACGTGTTTTGTTCCTTTTTTTTTGTATAACTCTGAATTTTTCGAGAAAGCATTGGATTAGTCGATTTGAACGTCTTTCGTTTAGTCCACGCTGGTGCGTCGCCTTTCGGAACCTCTCTTCTTTGGGGGGCATACTTTCTGGAGGACTTCCTCTTTGGAGCCTGATCTACCCCCCTTGGCCCTTATCCCGACATGTGGAGTGGTTAGTTGTTCCGTGGGCATGCGGGGAATGTCCAAGGGTGTTGTGAGGGTGTCCCTGTTTTACCAGCACATCCCTCCTGCTGACTTCTCCGCAGTGGCGACTTACCCGAGTGAATAAGCCACCAAGGGAGTTACACAATAAGTGCTGGAAAAAAAAAAAAAAAAAAATAAAACCGAAATGATTAAATCCGATGTATACCCCTCTGGGTTGATGACTCGTCACTCCACGAGTGTAACCTATTTGGCCAATTTAAGCGGCCATCGTAGGGGTGTTTTTTTCTTTCCTTCTCCTCCCCTCTTCGTCCTTTTTTTTCCCACGGCACATGCAGATACACTCGCCAGCGCAATGCGCATGATTGCCCCTTCCCCCGCCCGCCATCGATAACATGAAAAATGTGACGCGACTGTGTGTGTGGCTTCTCATTCTGGCCAACTGGGCAACCGTTCGCGGCAGGCGGGTTTGCGAGAGAGTGGCAAGGGATAATTACAGCGGAGCGGCAAACCTGTCCAGCGGCCTGTTCAGCGGCGTGTCCAGCGGCGTATCTGGCGGCTTGTCCAGCGATCTCCCCAGCCGCGACAAGCACCCCCTAAGCCACTACAGACCAAGGAAGACAAACCACAGGAATCTCCTTTTCCTGAAAAATAAGTTAAAAGAAATCTGGGACCGATTTACTACCAGGGGAAGCCACCATTTCAATAAGCCATCCAAGGAGAAGCAAAACAGTTCCAATTTGAAGAAAGCTTTCCGCAGCTTTACTCCGAAATGTCAGAATGACCTCATCAGCAGGGTCGTGGTTCGAAACAGCACCGTTATTAGACCCATCATCCTTTCCAATTTACTCATCAGAGAAAACATTAAAACAATTCGTCGCAAAGACATCGACAGGGTAGTTAAAATTGTTTCGGATTTTTACACCAAATCCAATTATCTCTTCTCGCGTGTCCTTCGGCACGAAGTGGTCAAAGATGGGGACCAGAACATTCTGATCATCTATGTGGAGGAGTTGGTACTGGACCGGGGGTGCGTCCAGATCAGGGTACTCCGGCCGGCGAGGCCAACCGGGAAGCGAACCAATACAGAAGAAATGGCCATATCAACGACTACTCCAGGGACTGCTCCACCCACTCCATCAACTACTACTCCTCCAACGGCTACTCCCACAACTGCTACTCCCCAGGGCGAACTCCTCTTCGAGCGCAAGGGCTCCGCATGCAACCTGACCGGCGCGGCGCCCAGACCCGATGATCTGCAGAAGCCCGAGGCAGCATCGAAGAAGCTGCGAAAATTCTTCGAAAAGAAGATGAACATAAAGGAGGGTAGCATCTTCGTGTGGGACCAAGCCACCTTCGACTTGATCCTCAAATCGAACATATTCAATTACGTCCATGTGAAGTTGTGGCACGATAAGCAGGAAAGAAAACACATACTACAGATAGACCTAATGGAAAATAAAAAAGTCTCATTTGTCCCATCCATATCGAAAAGCTTTAACTCCCTCCTGGATTTATGCATTAACATTACGTTTGGCTACCTGCACAGCATTAAATATGGGGACAAATTTAGAGTGAAGTTATTTAAAAATCTCAGTTACAAAAACAATAAACATGATTACGACATGGTCTTCGTGAACGACATTGTGGAGTTGGAGAAACTAAGGAACAACTCACACGCGTATTTCCTTTTCGGGGTGAACGTGAAGCAGGCTTTCAAGAAGGAGCTGGACGGCGCAGCGCTGACGGAGTGTATAAATATTATGAACAGGCAAGGTGAAAATGGGGAAAAGGAAGGGGGAAGAAATGTGCAAGGAGGTTTCACCAATCCGGGGGAGCAACACCCAGACCGGGACGATTTGCCCCCACGGGTGGAGCTCCCTCGCGGCTCCTCCACGCAGCGGAAGAACATCTACAGCTACCTACACAGGGGGAAAGTCTTCCTTTTTGCGATTAGGAAAATTCGCGATACCATTTTGGAAATCAAAGTGAAGGCGAAGAGGGAGCTGTTTCACAACTTTCTCTACTTCTTGGAGGAGAAAAATGAGAATTCGAAGGGGCCTGTCCACTCGGGAAGGCTCTTTCGTTTTCGCTTCCTCCCTTTTTGGAGGAGCCCAAATGATAGAGGGGTGCTATCAAACCAATTGTACAACATTTACGGGTCCAAACTAAAATTGTCTAGCTGCTTAAACGTTTACTCTGCCAGTTGGTTTGAGAAGGCAAAATGTATGAAGGCTTTCTTCAACGTGAGGAATAAAGTAGACTTGGTGTTTTACCTCAACACGGATAGGAAGTTTCGCCCGACGGAGGACCTCGGGGGGGAGGAAAATACCCATTACAGGGGAACGGATGCAAGTAAAACCGCGCTGAAGTCAACCATGCTGTCTTTTTTTAAGCAGGCCAACAAGAGAGGAGGCTTCCTCTCGATGGACCAAATAAAAAACGTGTACTTAAACTACACCTTTTACTTGCAGAAGAATTACAGAGTGAATATGTTTGATCTCTTCTGTAAGCTCAAACGGGTGTTGACCTTCCGGGGGGGACGTAGTCCAAGGCAGGTGGCGATACAAGCGGAGACACATCCCGCTACTGGGGAAGAGGCCCCCCTCGTCCTGGTCCCCCTGTACAAGTGCAAACTGATTATGAACCAAGTTCACCTTTTACTAAACGTGGCCTTTTTTTTCAAGAGGAATTTATGGGATTTACGGCAGGGTTGTAACCTCTCCTCCATTTGGGGGTGGGGAGGCGGAGGAGAAGGGACCAATGGGAAGCGTCCATGGGCGTACTATCACCAAATGAAGGAACTCTTCTGTGGAAATAGGGCTCAAAGTGGGAAGAGGGATGGCCCCAATTTTGAAGAAGACTTAAAGCGGATCACTTTGCCAAGCGGCGACACACCAGCGAGGAGTAGCCCCCACAGCAGCACGACGTATAACATATGCAATGTTAACCTGAACGACGCGCAGAAGGAACAACAAAACGAGATGAACCTCACGATGAATTACAAACTGATATTTCCCGTACTATTTGAGACTTACTTCCTTAACCTGATGGATTTGCGGCTTTACCTCTTCCTCAACTGGAGCCTCTTTGGCATAGGGGGGGGTAGCGTTGGAAGCGGTGGTGGTAATAGTAGTAGTGATGCTACTCGTGGTAGTACTACCCTCGAGGGAACTTCTAACACGACGCCTAACCCGATGAGCGAGGAGAGCCGAAAGAGCGCCTTCTACAACTACCTCAAATTGTCCTTCCTCAAAAACAAGAGGAAGATGCACCACTCGGCGTTCGGCTTCGGCATGCTTCTTTCAAACATCAACATCTTTTTACACTTCGAGATTGGCCGCCGCTCTCTGCTGCCTTCGCTCGTTTTGCAGCTCGACGAAGGCACCTCCCGGTTTGGGTACCTCTCGTGAGGGCCACCGTAGCGTCCCTCATTGTTGGGTGATCATCTCGAAAGGCAACATCCATTTCAAATGCTCGTATGCGAAGCTTCGGGGTGCTCCTCACCCACCCCGCGCATTGGCACACGTATGCACACTTTCGCGCCACTCCTTCGGCGTAGTCTTCTGTGGGGGCTGCTCAACCATGCGGGGTGAAAGAAAAAAAAAAAGGCGGCTCCACTTTTTTCGCATGCCACAATTTGCTAACTTCTCTCTTCTTTTTTTTTTTTTTTTTGGTCAACATTTTTGAAGCTTTAATAGTTACGACAGTCGTCATATAGGTTGGGTAGCCAGGGGTGTGATTAGCGGGAGAGAGGCTGATCGGCTTAGATTCACAAACGAGTAACAGCAGGGGTTCCGCGTTGCACTCCGTTTAGGCGCGATTTTGGTGAGGCATCTTTGGAGAGGCTTCTTTGGAATTCCTTCTTTTGAGGGACATCTTCCGAGGGGCCGCTCATTTCACACGTGAGGAGTGGCCTCCTTTAGCGGTGCCCGTTGAGAAGCCGCCTCGCCGACGGGGAGAGACCATCATAATTAGAAACCCATCATAATAGGAACCACATCATAATAAGAACCGCATCAGAGTAAGAACCCCATTTGAGGGTAGCCTATCCCCTCCCACTGCCATACGGAGCCAAAATGATCACCTCCATAGATGTGGTGCACGAGCTGCTGACGACGATTTATAGCAGCATATTCTCGCGAAGCAGCAAAGACATCCTCAAGTACGACGTGCTTCTCTACCTGGACGACTACTACTATTTTGACATCGTGCGAAAAGTGAGCGAAGACATAAACGAGTTGGACCCCGACTTGTGTGTCCTACAAGGGGAGGACGACTTTAACCAAATCTTCATGCATTTCAGTCGAAGCAGGAACTACATCATTAAAGATAAGGCATACGAGAATGAGAGCGAACGGAGGATAGACTTTCTCCACGAGGTGCTGGCCGATCTGCTTTGTTTGCTATATGAGAAGGGAAAAAAGGGCACGAAGGAGGTGAGAGCCATTACGAAGAGGGGGCACAGAGAGAAGGACACAGACAAGGAGAATACAGACAAGGAGAATACAGACAAAGAGAATACAGACAAGGAGAATACAGACAAAGAGAACACATACACGGAGAACACAACTTGGGAACGAATAAAACAGGAGTTAGCCCAGATTGAAATGTTACGTGGAGAGCACACAAAGGAGGGTGTATCAGGGTCCCCCCACGTGGCCACGTTAACTACCAACCCGAGTGGTAATCTGGACGAGACGTACATCAGGAAAGTCCTGAACATCCCAAAGGAGCACTTCCAAAATGAAGACATCATAATAAAGCAAACAATAGACAAAGAGACAGAACAAATGGTAAACGAACTGCTCGAACATCTCAATGTAGAATATCAGATGAGGTACTACTACCTCTTTCTAAATCACTATCTAACGATGCAGACATTGTTCATGTCCCCCTTAATTGACTTAACCTCTGAGGAGTTAAAAAAAATTGTAAATAGAATTGTGCATATTAAAAGAATGACTTACAGACCTGTTACTATATACGATGTGCTCTCCTTTCAGTACAGCAACATTTCATTCTTTAAGTCTTCTCACGACAACTTACCTTCTCCAGTGAAGAAGGTAAAACTTGTTGGGGAGACCATCGAACGTGGAGGCATACCCACTACCTTTTCGAAGAAAGTCATCATGAAAGATGTGATCAGTGCAAACATTTCCCTGAAGGAGAAGTACAGCAAGGTGAAACGCCACAATGAAGGGAACTTCGGGGGGAGGTACAAGGCTCGCAATTATTACGACTCCTCCAGGAGGTAGTCCCGTTGCACGTAGTGATTTGTTTGTGTGTGTTGGGAGGGGCGTAACTCTATCACTGCAAAATTGCATGTGCTGCCTATGTTGTCTTTTGTTATCTTCCGTTGTGGCTTCGCAGCCTCACAGCGCCCCTCGCGAGCACATGCCAGTTTTCGCAAAGATTGGGGAATTCCTCCCGTTTTAAAGGCACACATTAGTGCCACGTTAAAGGCATCTCTGTCCTGTCCCCATGTACATACAGCAAAGTGACGGGGGACTTCCCCATCGAGATAGCTTTCCTCTCGTGATGGCTAACTTCACCGCGTCACCCAGCTGGGGTAAAAGAGCAAGAAAAAAGGAAAGCAAAAAATAAGCAAAAATTAAGCGAATAAATAAACGTATAAACAATATGCGCACCGCTTGACGTGGACACGCGGCCTCTCCTGACTGGGCCAAAATTAAAATCGGAAGATACTTCCAATAGGGGTGATGCAGAAGATAGAAAAATGTATTTCCCTTTTCTTTTGGGTGGACCCATTTGGTAATTCAACCACGCGTCTTTTCCCCCTTTACAGGGTGTCCACCATTTCGCTGTCGCTGTTACTGCCTCCCTCTAGCTTCTTTTTTTTTTTTTTTTTTTCTGCTAGCCCGTTCAGGCGATTTTTTCCTTGTGCACGTTTTATGCATGCCCCGTTCAGGCGATTTTTTCCTTGTGAACTTTTTATGGCTGACCCGTTCAGGTTATTATTTCCCTTTTGAAGCGCAAAAAATAACGTCCTCGTTTTTTTCCTTCATTATAGGGGAAAGAGAATGGCCAGCTCGCGAGGCACAATTCGATAGACCCGAACGCGCGTGTCTCCATTTTGTATAAAAGAGAAAAATGTGGTAACCGCTGATTTGGGCCTACCACATACGCAACACCTCACATTTGTTTGCCCCTCCCCAGCTTGATGATAACACATCTGGTAAAGATGGGACGAATTGTCTCCCTGCTGTTCACTCTGGCGGGACTCCTTTTGCACACACACAATGCAACAGTTTGTTCTGAGTATCATTTGGGAGAAGCGGTGAGGAAGGAGGCCTGCAAGTTTCGTCGCAGCGGAGGAGGGGGCCACGGGGTGAACTTCGCCAGCACGACCGGGAGGGGGAACTCCCTCGTAGAAGCGAAAATGGAAAAGGAGCAGGACTACTTCACCTTAAAGCTAAATGAACACAATTTCAGGTGGAGTGTACCCCTCTTGATGGGGTCGAAGAAGAAGCCCCTTCAGTTGGGCGTCGTCACGTCCACCCCTATAACCGCCCTTTACTGTTCCTATAATCCGAGTCCGAGTGACGAAATGAAGGATTTAAAATATGAAGTGAACGAATCGGAAGATGTGAAATATATAGGTTGCAGAAGTAGGCAGTGCGCTGCCGTATCCCAAGGCAGTTCTTGTCACCCGATTGACCATTTTTTAAAGATGATCCATGACTTTGGATTGAGAAAAAAAAGTTGCCCCAATCGATTTTGTAGCTACATAAATGATATGAACTTTCTAAATGTGGACAGCAAGTTGGACAAGAGGAACATGTCCGTGTGTTCGTTTAGCTCAAGTCTTGATTCGGAACACATAGAGGGTTTCTATATTAGAGATTCGTTTTACCTGTACGATACGGTTCGATGCTATTACAACTACTTCGGGTGTGTAACACAGAGTGACGAATTGAAGTTTAATAATGCTATTTCTGGTTTTATCGGATTAGGATATAACCGTGCAGATGGTGCTCCTCACTCCGAACAGTCCCCTTCCATGTTGCATACGTTGGTACAGAAGTCCTTGTCTAAAAAGAACATCTTTGGATTGTGCTTCGTTGAAGGAGGTGGTTTTGCATCCTTCGGTGGAGTAGACAATGAAGCATTAAGGAAGGTCCCGGCTGTATCCAAATTGCAGCTGAGTTCCCAACACCTCGAAGCAGATGCCCCGCTAGAACTTCTGGAACAGAAGCAAGCCACTTCCCACCAAATTGTGTGGCTCCCATATTCAGCCACTTCCAAAGACACGTACAACCTTCTCATGAAAGAAGTCAACATGGTGTCGGGTTCGAATCGGCTGCAGAGTGAGAAGGGCCAGCTGGCTGTCGTCGATTCATGTAAGCGCCCTTCGGGAATGCAGCTGGGATAGGCAGTGTGCGCATGCACAATTAAGCAGTGAACCGCGGCCTCTACTGCCATGTGGACCATTTACACATGGGCATCTCGTCCGCCCTTCCCCCCCCAGACAGCTACTTCCTATCCTTCCCAGCCGAAATCACCGCCAAGCTCAAGACCGCCGTGTACAACTCATGCACTGGCGAGGGCAACAGCTGCTCCGAGATCATTAGCAAGGGTGTATTCACACTGAAGAACCAAGGCGTGGCACACTTCCCCACGGTGGAGCTGGTCTTCTAGTACGTCCATCGGGGTGGCGAAGCGGTGGTGAAGCAATTTAGACAGCTTCCCCACAGGGTAGCTTCCCAATAGGGCAGCTTCCATACCTGTGATCCTCTCCCCCCTTTTTGCTACCCCCCTCAGCGACGGGAAGGTGCTGATCGAGCCCAAGGACTACCTAATCCACGAAGGGTTACCTTAACTTCCAGCCCAGTGCGAAAAATCAGTTGCCTCCTCACTGGGAACGTTACCTTACATGTGATGGAGCATAATATGGCCATCTCCTCCCTACATGATGTAATTTTCTCCCCTTTTTTCCCCGAAGCGACGGAGTGTATAGAGTCCTGATCAATTCAGCGGGAACCTTCAAATTGGGGATCCCCTTCTTCCTAAACAAATATCTCATCTTCGACAATGAGAATGGGAAGCTGGGTGAGGCGTCGAAAAAGGTTTCCCCTCCACCTCAGCAGATTGTGTGCGCACCTCTATAGGAACCCCCTGCAGACACGTGGAGCGAACTGAGAAGATGTAGACATGCCAACTGCAAACATGCCAACTGCAAAGATGCGAACCCGTTTTTTCTGCCCCCCCCCACAGGTGTAGGCCCATCTGATTGCAGCTTCAAAATGAAGGGGACTCATCCCGGAGTCGACTTGAGGACGACGGAGGCGGACGAGAGGGGGGACCCCGAGGATGAGGTTTGAAGCTAAGAAGTCCACATACATAGGAGCGAACGAACGTGTGATTTGTACTCATGTGAGTGTCAAACATAGGTAAAAAAAAAACGAACACGTGACTCAGTACACATGTGGTGTGCTTGTTTGTTTTTTCCCTCCCGCCCTTTGAAGGACTCGACGAAGGAAGGCTTCTTTCAGGAAAACAAGTTCATCATACTCGCGCTCACTTCTTTAAGCGTCGTGGGGGCCATTGTCGGGGGCGTCTTCTTCTTCTGTTGACTCGGGCAGTGCGGATAGACCCAGGGCCCTGAAGTTAAGGCAGACCCATATTGGCACAGTGCACGTCCCCACTTTGCGCATGAAATGTGTACAGTGCTGCCCTTCCTCGGTGATGCTCCCAATCGGTTTCACTTTGCCACCCCCACAAGAGGAAGCCTCAATAAAAGAAGGGTCGCCCAATTTTGTGCCCATCTTTGCCTACTCCTATTTTGATATACATTCCAGCACACCGCGCCATTCTCCTGTTAGCGGAGGAGAAAAAATACCAAAAAAAAATGAGGGAAAATATAAAAAAGGAACAGGGAAGTAATGCACGAAGGAAACCGGAAAATATATAATTGGGTGGAAAA